CGATCATCAGGAGAATGAGTACGCGATTCTATCATAGCAGGTAATTTTGCTTCTTTTATTATTTTGGCTAAGATATACTAAGACATTAAAATTTGGTATTATACAAATACAAATATACATTATTATAAGTAATTAATATCAGATATACTTTGAATTAAAATTGTATCATTATTCATGCTTAATGAATCTGTTTTCATTTTTAAATCGTTTTATTCTCCAGTGTGGCGAAGTCGGGGAAGCATGCATGTTAGATCTAGGATGTTGTCCCGAATTTCGATGCAACTATACTGGTGAGTCTAAGATATGATTTATACCTGCAAAATGTAGGAATTCACTGTTTTTAATTGGATGATCTATCTAATTTCTTCTACAAATCATACACTAATCCAGAGTTCCCAAACCTTTCCTAGTCGCAGCACCATTTTTCAATTACAATTTTCCCATGTTGCCCTACCCTAAGTACGATTATTTCTAAGTAAGAGATAAAAATAAATAAAACTCGTGTATCCTTATTATTTTTTTACTTCATTAACATTAAATTAATATTTATTAATTTATGTGATGGATAAGCCTGCAAATCACTGCACATTTTCTCAAATTGAAGCTTCTACAATATTTCGCAGCGCCCCTGTAAAGAGGTAGCGGCTCCCCGGGGCGCCGCGGTGCACAGTTTGAGAATAACTGCCCTGATCCAATTTTGAACTATTAAGCCAGATTGCACGTCATCATATGATAGGAAATAATTTTAACCTTGCTTTTAATAAGTATCAATTCCTTATTCTTGTAGTTTACTTAACCTTACCCATATAACTCGTAAAGCTGATTGCGAAGCCCTCAAGATTTAGATACGCACACACACACGCACATATATATATATGAAAGGAAAAGAAGAGGGGCAGAGGAAGAACGATGTATATATCTAGCCTCCTGCGAATTTTCTCGGAAGCTACGGCTAATATCAGGGAAATGGAGCATTCGTACAAGCATGAGTGAACGGACATCCCTTTTCCCCAGTCTGCCCACACAACATGAATAAGTCAACAAAATGAAGTGCTCCGAAGTTTTCAGCATAAATCGCAAGGACTGTGAACAAAAATACATTGGAGAAACGGAAGGGACAATCAGCAAAAGGATAAAATAGCACCAACGGCTATGGATACGGAAAGACCGGAGATAGCTGAACACATCATCATTACCGGCTACGCAATTGATTCGAATGCAACGAAAAGACTGGCCTCATATGAGAAAAACACCAGGAAACGAAAGATCAGAGAGACTGTGGACATCCTCTTTCAAAGAAGTCTGATGAACAGGAGATTGGAAGAGGGAAAAGTCAGCCATGATTTCGCGTATTGCCTGGGCAGATTTGGATATTCAGCAAAAAGATCAAAAAGAAGACACTTGTACCCAGGAAAACTGTTGTAACTTTAATTAATTAATTATATACATATACATGTATGCATAATGTTATAAACATATTTATTAGTAATTATTGATGATTTTTTCCTAATATTTACTATATTACAAATGATAGGTATTGGTGAGGGAAGATGTGTCAGTCGTTACGCTGGCCAGTCGTGTAGATCATCTGCTGACTGCCGGGATGGTCTCTGCTGCCGCATGGATATCAAAGGGAGCACCTGTGAAGATGGCTGTTACAGCCCTGACTATGTGCCCATGGGGAACTTTGAAGGTCGCGAGTTTTGGAGGCTTTGGCACAGGCAAAGGCGCAATGAGCGTAGACGCAAATTTTACCGTTGACTCTCAAGCCCACAACATTAGCGCTTCAAATATAAAAAAACATGCCCATTGAGCAGGTGAAGCGGTGCACACATTCATAGAAAACATTTTCATAAGCTTTCAAAGGGCCCATCACATGGTAATATATAGAAATCATTTTCATACACTCAACGCGTAAAGTAAAACAGCTATTAATGCCTTATTATAAAAACATTATTTCAGAGACAGGAAAAATAATCCAAGCCATGTAGACACCGAAAAACTAAATGCAGACGTATTCGCTACTAGACTTTGAAAGCGCAAAATTATAGTCAGAATTAAAGAGCCTTCAACTCAGTATTACATCATTTGCAAACCACATATTACAGACGCATTTTACTATCATCCCAGTAATGAGATGATTTATAGCAAGGGTACAACTCCTCCTCTACACAACTAAATTACTTACCCCTTGATCGAATGGTTCGTGAAGTGAAACAAGGTTGTGACTCGGAACGTTTGTTCAACTTGCCATATTAACATTTCTTTTCAAAATTTTGAAATTATCAATAAAGCCATTGGTTCTTATGCCTCCACTTATGTGACACCTACTGAGTTTTCTGTAGGGTTAATGCTTCAAATCCTGATTCCATTTGTCACATACTCATTGATAAGATTTACTCGCAGCTTTTCTTGCAAGTGAACTGAATTTTGCCGACAAAGTTAATCTAGTATCCAACAGTATAGTGTACATGCGATAGCAAATTTGCTGGTCCCTCGGACGATGGCAGGTTTAGCAAATTACGAAATTCCTATTTTAAGCAGTCACTAAACATTAGCAATACTCTGCGTGACCAAAATATAAGTATATTAAATTTAGGTCAGATTAACTAGTTTCAATTGTCAGTTCAATCCAGCTCAAGAGCAAATGCCAATCTGCCGAAAGAAACGAATTGCACACTACAGATGGATAGAATAATAAAATGGATGAATGAGAAATTAAGATATTTAGTCAGCTTACTTAATGAATAGTAGTATAGAGTATTGGTATATATCTGGGACAAGTAGGCTTGGAAACGAGCCAAATGAGTATTTTGAAATGTTATCCAAATGGTAGAAATTCGGAAAAGCACTAAGGGCTAGAATAAGGAGCACTTATGTGCCAAACTCGAGTTAAGCCAGCACAATGAAGTAACATTAAAGTTTAAGAAATATAAAAGCTTGATCAGTCTAGGATGCTCAAAATAATTCAAGAACTGATATTTCAGCTTTGCAACGGGTTAAATAGGTCTTACAATGCCATAGAATATCATTGCAGCTCCGACGTCTCCTAGGTCTCATCAGCACCCCCAGTAGGATTCGATAGCTGGTCAAGAGTATTGTGGTGCTTTTACCTTCCCACTCCACTAAACGACCATGCGTGCCTGTGAATCAAAGTTCAGATGCGGCATTCAATGCAAGTCAAGCCTTTGCTGAATAGCATTTAACAGCAAGATTGAAGATCAAGCAATCATGTTTTTCCCAATGTAATCGAGGGCATTACTTATAGGTAGCCTTCAAGACAGTCAAAAATTCTTGAATAAGAGTCTAGTCACCCTAGGTGGATTAGGGTGATTTACTTCTCATGAGATGAGTGAGACTAAAAATGCCATTTGTTTCACGTACCTTTGCCAGTGGCCGCGTAATTAAGCGGATTGGTAGTATCGTCACGACACGCACATGGTATCCTAAACCGCTGATAGTTCTAAGACTAAGGCAAAATCGAAATTGCAGTCCATCCTGGACGAGCTAAGCTTTTTAGAGGCATAGCTAAGTGAAATTTAACGACATCGTGAAGCCTATTTATCTCATTGTAGGAGAACTCAATTATCAGTCCTTAAATCGACATGGGGTAAATTAAGACTTATTCAAAATTTACTGAGAGTCTCAAAAAATGCTTAAACCAAAAGTAAAAAATATGAATAAGAATAAGTATGTTTCTCTGTCTTGACGTATCCAGCATCCTAATAGATTTTTAGAAGTAGGTTGACCTCGTCGTAACTTGATCTTGTTGTCAGGTCGACTTAGTAGAAAGCACCTTGTCCGACGTCCTCTGCTATAGTAGGTATCATAATTCCCAGCATCAGGCTGTGAACTTGGTATATTCTCAGACGTCTTGCCGGCATCATCATTGAATCATGCCATTCTCAGCACAAACCTACAATCTCGTCAATAAGGCAAGTGAAGTCGATCCCTCCAACAACGCTTCGCTGAAATGGTTACACTATCACTCCTCGTTCAGTCCTGGCCCATCTATCAACTCTTTACACTCTTATCCAAATCCCGCCCTGTCACAATTGACTTGTTCACACTCCACTCTTCAAAATGTGTGCCCTTTTGTGGCAAATTTAATGTGGCCTCATCACACCTGCTATTCAGCATAGCCTCTTATCTTTCCACCGGCTGATCCGACTTGGGCCTCCAATCCGGATCTTCCTCATGGTCTAGTAGATCTGTTTCTTATCTTCATGGTTGACGGCTTTCACTCGGTTCCAGTCCCAGTGTATGTTTCACTCCAGGCGCTATTTTTCAAGGCCCTAGAAGCACGTACACTGCTGCCTAACCGAACAGAGCGCCTAGGCTCTGATTCCCATGCTTGCCTATATCAGGCATTGCCTTCACGTGTCGACTCTTTGATTAAACCCATGTTAACTGAGCAAACTGTGGACGCCTACCTCTGGTCGCATGCGGCCTCTCAAGTGGATTTCTAGTACATTTTGACCATAACGCCTAATTTCCGTGACGGTTTGCTTATCCGTCTGCCCAGCCCCCTTACTACCAGGCCCCCAAAGTTATACGGGTTTATTCGAAATGGACATTAAACACTGACCACGTCTTCGCTTTATTGCCGAAAACCCCTACCCCCACTTTCTTCATCGCGATCCCTTTTCCTCCGGTTAGCGCTAGATCCTTGATCCAGGCGTCTCCTTTTAGCTAGTCTTACTATATTCTTGTTTTCCCCGAGTTTGCTTAGACAGTAGGCAAAGTTATCACTATCTCTACCTTCCTCCAATCTCCTGTTTGTTAGATTTTTTCCCCAAGGATGTCAATGGTATCCCTAATCTTCTGCTTTATTGTGTTGTAACCATATAAGGCCCTTCTTCCTGTTGTCTTGCAATTGATCTCGTGTCCAGTCTGTGCGATGCGTTCCGCTAGTTCTAATCTTTCGGTATCCATTTTCCTGCAGAGCCTCTAATGTTCGTTGATCCGTGTGGTAATTTCTCCCCCTGTTTCGCCAATATATTTATGTTCGCAGACGCCACATGCTATGCAGTGAACTCCTTAAGCAATACAATTTATTAACCCTCTCATTTTGTATCAGTATACTTGTGAAGTGTTGCTTTTGTTCTTCATGACCACTCCAATACCCTTAGTATCTGCCGTCGTTTTTGAGTAAGTTCGCAGGAGTAGGCATATCCAATTTTGTGAATCCTTCGTATTCCCCGTTCTACCATTGGCCTTTCACTGTCAAGTTGTTTTTTTTGTATAACTTCGCTTGTGTAGCCAATACCGAGGAATATCCTAATCAATTTGTCCTAATCTATATCCCAGGATTACACATGCATTTATCGTAGGCTTCTGATGATCATACTCCTGAAGGAATAATTGTTCATTCACTTCTGGGCTCTTACGTACCCTGGCAAATCTGTTCTTGTGTTGGTTGTTGATGTGTCAATCTCTTTGGAATTAGTTACATCCTCATTTCCCGTTTTGTCTCATCAGAGAACTTATCGGAGATATTGCTAGTCTCCACCGCGATGTCTCCTAGAAGGCTTCTGTCATTTAAAAGTGAAGAGTTGAGTGTTTTTTCCAAGAGTGTGGTTGTTTCGGGATTGAGACGAAATGCTGATAAGTTTAATACTTTCTTCCGATCGTCGTGCTGATCAATAGGTGCTGTCACCTCGGAAACCACTTCAGCTTGCCGTACTGGCTTTTGCTTAGGCTGTCTTATAATACCAAACTTACGCAATTTATAGTAATGTCATTTTGTTATTAAGTCAGAGATCCTACGGGATTTACTGTCGGTCATGTTCTGGAGGTTTTGAAAGTCTTTCGGAGTCAGGATCCAGGCCAGATCACACCGGAGCTTTGACTTAATATCTCCCCCTTTGACGAATTCGTAGCTTGGTGCGGAGAATAGCAATAATCAACGATGATGCCGGTGAAATGTCTGATAATGTGCAAAGTCCATTGCCCGATGCTGAGAATTATAACTACTATGGCAGAGGACTTCAGAAAAGGTGTGTTGTACTAAGTCACCCTGACAAGACCAAGTTGCGATAACGAGGTCAACTCATTTCTATATATTGAAAGGATGCTGCGACCATACCGGGGGCCAGACCATCTTTGTTCCTAGCCAACTCTGACCCCAAACTCTCAAGTTGTCAGGGTTATAATAGACATATTTGTGAAAATAAAGCTGAAACAATTAGACAGGTAAATTGCGGAACTAGTGGATAATTTTGATGAGTCCACTCTTATATTCCCTAGCTTCCATGGCATCCATAACATAGCGACGGGAAAAGTTCAGGGTAAAAAGGTATTTCCATTCTGATCGTCAGTGTTTGCATTAGAGATATGCAACATACACAACTTGCTATAAACTGGCCTAAATGTCATAACTCATTGTGCCCCATAAATGCTTCATTATATTATAGTGCCAGCATCGTTCATCTCCCTTATAGAAGATAGCTTCTCAAAGTTGCACCATGGATACACAAGGTAGACATGAAAAAACCTTGTATTCTTCCATATAACCAGATTCCCTATGATCATTCGGATGTGACCAGTCCGACAAGAAAGTCAGGTGTAATTAACTAGTGTGATAATTGTAAATGAATTCACCATTTAACCTGGGACGAATTTTATAGTGGATAGGATGCAATCGTCTTGCCTCAGAATCATCAACCAGCTATATCAACCGAGAAACTGGTTTGCCGGGACATGTACCAGGGCAAAAAATAACTATTCGCATAAACACGAAGGCTCACTAAACGGAGTAA